GATGAGGCCCTCTTCTAGCCGTTGAGGTGTGAACACCAAGGGAGGAGAAACTGCTTTTGTCGTTGGCTAGCCAGGCACAGTCTTTGTTTAATCCTGAGCTGATGGTGTCAAATTTGCAAATGAACTGAAGCTCAGCAGTTTCTCTTTGAAGTCTGGTCCTGAAGTTTTTTTGCTGCAGGATGGCTACCTTTAAATCTGCTATTGTGTGTCCAGGGAGGTTGAAGGTGTTCTCCCTCGGGTTTTTGTATATTGCCATTCCTAATATCTGATTTGTGTCCATTTATCCTTTTACATAGGAACTGTCCAGTTTGGCCGCTGTACATAGCAGAGGGGCATTGCTGGCATATGATGGCGTATATTACGTTGGTGGACGTGCAGGTGAATGAACTGGTGATGGTGTGGCTGATCTGGTTAGGTCCTGTGATGGTGTCACTGGTACAGATATGTGGGCAGAGTTGGCATCGAGGTTTGTTGCATGGACTGGTTCCTGAGTTAGAGTTACTTTGGTGCGGTGTTTAGTTGCTGGTGAGAATATGCTTCAGGTTGGCGGGATGTCTGTGGGCGAGGACTGGCCTGCCTCCCAAGCAGTTTCTCCTCCCTTGGTGTTCACACCTCAACTGCTAGAAGAGGGCCTCATCCTTCCTGATTGAGCTAACCTTGTTATCCCTAGCCTGACTCTTGCTTGCATATTTATATCTGCCTCTGGAAATTTCCACTACATGCATCCGATGAAGTGGGTATTCACCCACGAAAACTTATGCTCCAATACGTCTGTTAGTCTATAAGGTGCCACAGGACTCTTTGCTGCTTTTACAGATCCAGACTAACATGGCTACCCCTCTGATATTTTGCTTTAGTGATAACTAAAAAAGGTAACTGTAATCAGATGCTTAATTAATATTAACAACAAAGGGGAAGGAACACAAGTCAGATTAGGGAAAGAACAGGGGAAATAATACTTAGATAAATTAGATATATTCAAGTCAGCAGGGCCTGACTACATTCATTCTAGGGTACTTAAGGAACTAGCTGAAGCAATCTCGGAACCATTAACAATTATCTTCAAGAACTCATGGGAGATGGCTGAGGTCCCGGAGGATTACAGAAGGGCAAATAAAGTACCTATATTTAAAAGGGGGCACTAAGAGGACCTGGGCAATTATTGACCAGTCAGCCTAACTTCGATATCTGAAAGGTACTGGAACAAATTATTAAACAATCAATTTCTAAGTCCTAGAGGATCATAGGGCAATAAGTAATAGCCAACATGGATTTGTCAAGAATAAATCATGCCAGAACAACCCAATTTCCCTTTTTGGCAGGGTTACTGGCCTAGTGGAGGGGGGACGCAGTAGACATGAAATATCTTGATTTCAGTAAGGCTTTTGACATAGTCCCACATGACAGTCTCATAAAAAACTAAGGAAATGTGGTCTAGACGAAATTACTATAAGGTAGGTGCAAAACTGGTTGAAAGACTGTACTGCAAGAGTAGTTTTCAATGGTTTGCTGTCAAACTTGGGGAATGCATCTGTCCTGGGTTCAGTACTATTAATTATTTTCATTAATGACTTGGATAATGGAGCAGAGAGTATGCTTTTAAAATTTCTGGATGACACCAAACCGGAGGGGTTGCCAGCACTTTGGAGGACAGGATTAGAATTTAAAACCACCTTGACAAATTGGAGAATTGGTCTGTAATCAACCAGATGAAACTCAGTAAAGACAAGTGCAAAATACTATATTTAGGATGGCAAAATCAAACACACAAAATGGGAATAACTGGCTCGGCAGCAGTACTGCAGAAAAGGATCTGGGGGTTCTAGTGGATAACTTTAATATAAGTCAACAATGTGAAGGAATTGTGAAAAGACTAATATTCTGGGGTGTATTAACGGGAGTGTTGTATGTAAGATATGGAAGGTTATTGTCCTGCTCTACTCAGCACTAGTGAGGCCTTATGTGGAGTATTGTTCTGGGAGTCACACTTTAAGAAAGATATGGACAAATTGGATAGAGTCCAGAGGAGAGCTACAAAAATTATAAAAGGTTTAGAAAACTTGACCTATGAGGAAAGGTTAAAAAAAACTAGGCATGTTTAGTCTTGACAAAAGAACACTGAGAAGACTGAGTGGGGACCTGACAGCAATCTTCAAATATGTTATAAAGAGAATTTTGATCACTTGTTCTCCATGTCCACTGAAGGTTGGAAAAGAATTAAGCAGCTCAATCTACAGCATGGGAGATTTAGGCTAGATATTAGAAAAAAAAGTCTAACTATAATGATAGTTAAGTACTGAAATAGGTTGCCATGAGAGCTGCGGAATCCCTGTCATTGTTGATTTTTAAGAACAGATTGGACAAAGACTTGTCAGGGATTATCTAGGTTTACCTGATCCTGCCTCAGCACAGGTAGTTGTACTACATGACCTCACAATATCTCTTCCAACCCTACATTTCTATGATTCTACATTGGATAGGCCACAAATAGGGGATAGATTTATGTGAATAGGAAGGTGTGACAGATGTGACAATTTCCTGCAATATTTTTGGGAGCTCTTATTGTATTAAGTTTATGTATCATCATGGGCCAGGGACTGTATGCAATTCCATGGGGGAGGGTGACCGCAGCTCCTCCAAGAATTAAGAACAGTGGGAGATGTGACCAGATATTATCAACCTGTCACATCCTGAAAAAACCCCTATGGAATAAAGATAAACTTGAATACCCGGTTAGAAGGGAGAGAGAGAGAGAGAGACATGTCTCCACCTATGAGAGGCAACAGCTGTGAAGCTGAAAACCAAGAGTGGGTGCCCTTGCTGAACCACAAAGGGGAAATACAGGTGCAATTTTCCTGAACAGTGACAAAGGACAATTAGGCAAATTCACTCAGGCTGTAACACCTCCAGAAAAAAGTACCACTGCCTGGAGAGGTTCATACATATTAGCTCAAACTGGAGTCTCCAGAGACTGACAAGACTGGACTCTCAAGCATGGACTACAACTGCAAATCTTACAAGACGAAGGACCTCCCACAGTCCCTCCCAAGTCAAAACAACAATTCCCATCCCTATTGCTCCCATCCTCTGTCAGCCCCCACCACCTCTGCCAATCAGCCAGCCAGTTTACCAATGTCCCCGTTGATCTGCTTGTTTAGGGTTGTAAGCTAAGTAAGCAGTCACATTTTGTATTAACTAAAGTTTCCGAGAGGTCTTCAAGGATGGCTGGATATAAAAAAACATTGCAGTAATCCTACCCAGCGGTGGCTAAGGCACTGATAACTGTTGTGAGGTGCACATCTGAGAGGAGAGGCGCAACCTTCTTCACTGAGCACATATTAAAAAAAGCACTCTTGGCTACTGCTTCTATCTGGGTATTCAAAAGCTGTGGCAGAGCTGGCAGGACTACTGGATTGCCAACTTTATTAAGAAGAGCTCTGTGGAGCTCGAACGCTAAATTGGTCCAATAAAAGATATTACCTTCATCCACCTTGTCTCTCTAATATCCTGGGACCAACATGGCTACAACAACACTGCACACAACTTTGTTAACAAAAGATGGGCCTGCCCCCGTAGTCCAGGGGGCAGATACCATCTCTCCCTTCTCTTGCAGGAGGCCCCTCTTTGGTCCTTCATCTCCTCAGTGTACAGAAATGCTATTCAACCATCCTTCCCACCCTACAATGGCCATTACAGCAGTCACATCTGCGTGCATGAGCAAGGACCTTCCGCAGTGTTGCCAACTCTTGCAATATTTATTGTTTTTTTTAAAGCCCTAGCTCCTGGAGCTAAGAATCTTAACTTTCATTTGAAAAGTAAGTTTCTAGCCATCATAGTTGACCAGAAAAGCCTGAAAATATGACCCCCCACTGTAACCTAAGGGCTCAGAAACCAAGTCAAGTGAAAAGAACCCAAGTTTTATTTATTTAATTTCATTATTTTTAAGACAATCTAATGATATTTGGAGGGCCCAGCTCATGATTTTTGAATGACTGAGGTTGGCAATACTGAAATAAGCCCTCAACCTAGAAGTCTCCCCAAATAAAAGTATAGAAAGCCCCCTCTCCACAACCATTCTAGAGCAAATGACCCAACCCCAAAAGTCTACTCCTTACATTGTCCCCCCCCATTTCTGCCAACTAGATCAATCACCCCTATGGAACTGGATGGGCTCCTTCACCCTATCCCCCTACCCAAAAGACCAATCACTGGTTCATTCTCAAACAGAACTCTTGACTCAAAAGGTATAGCCCTGCCACACAACAATGCTCAAATGCCATTTCCACAATGGGACAAGTCAGCTTGTGGTCAGTCAAAACTTCCCTGGCGGTATGACAGAAGAAACTGGATGATCAGAAATTGCCTGGAGGCTTCCTCAGAGTCATCAACATTATTTAAATTAATATGATTCTCACTGAAATCATGATTATTTATTGTCCCACGGACAGTTTGTTCTGAATTACTCTGAACACTCTTGATCAGAGCAGCAGGTGGTGGACAGGTAGGAAGAATGGAGATTTTATGAAACAGCCTCCCCATGAACAAGAGTGTTTATTCACTGTTCCATTAGGTCAGCCATTTGCAAGACTAATACAGTGACGTCAAAGCCAGAATCCCAGTTGTTTGATACATTTGATTTATATTAGATTCATTATAGAGATTACAACTTCATTTACTTTTGTTTTAAATTGATTTGCAATTTCCACTATTTATAGAGGTTGTTTGATCATACACTGCAGACTTTATGCAACTGTGTAATAAATCTCTCTCTCACCCACACCCCCTCCTGCCCACCTACCCTCTCAGGTTTGACTCTTCCATCTTTTAATTTAATGTCATACTGACCACGTAGCCACATTAACATAAAACAGTCTCTCTTCCCAGCCCCCAAAACATCTGCTTCACATTACATCTTTCCACAGAAAAATAATTCCTGCCCCTGTGTTTATCCCACCACCCAAAAAAAAAAGTTTTAAAATGGGAAAATGATTGTTACTTACTAGGAACTCCAGATACCAGTCGTAAGGGGCGTAACACTCGGAAAGCCCGCAGTGCTTTAACATCAAATCCGGCACCTTTCCCTCCTATTGAATTCGCCCCATCTGCTTTGGTTGCTTGTTCTAAAATTGCACTAAAAAGCCTGCAAAAAGGAAAGAGGAAACAAGCTGTAGGCAGACAGCAAGGAGGCTTAGGCTAAACAGAAAATTGATTAACATCATAATACCATTGAAACTACCTCATATTGCACAAACCCACCAGATGTATCACTTATCTGACTTGATAGTCATATGTAGTGGGGGAGAAAGAGACACTTCCCCTATACAATATCCTGTAGTCTTAGAATGGGAACTGAGACGTAAGGCAAGAGACATCAGTTCTACTATCAGTTCTTCCTTTGACTGCTATTAATACTTCTGTGCAGTCTGCAACCTTTATTAGCTGATGCTCTACTGCAGAAGGGCAATTATTCAACCATTTCAGGGCCAGTGGAACCCGGGGTGGGGGAGGGGGCTAGCATCTCTACAATGGAAAAAGCGTGTGCGGGTCTCTGTTTCTGCCTACCCACCAATATCTGGAAGTGGACTCTGCTGCATTCACATAGAGGAAGATATGAGAGCAGGATCTGGAGGAGAGGCTGTAGCAGCTGCCAAGGCCACAAGATCAAGCTGACTCATGAGGAGCAGGTAGGACTCCCCAGCCCAGCCAGGTCCCACCTTCCCGCCACGGCAGGTCCCGGCAGAGACAGCCAGTCCCAAGGAAGGGCAGGAGTGTGTGCACCAGCCATCAGTGTGAGGTGGGGGATGGGACAGGGTATCAGCACCTGGATGGGAGGCAATGGCGCACAGGGTGCCAGCTGCCAAGGAGGTGAGGGGAATACAGGGCACTAGGCACTACCCACAGGAACGGCAATAGGAACTACTAGGACATAACTTCCCAGCCTGGAGCCAGCTGCCCCCTCGAGTCTTTGTAACTTGCTCCCTCTTCTATCCATCTGGTCCCCCATTCATAGGGAGTTCAGTCCCCCAATCTATTTTACATCCAACTCAGGTTCCACAAGGTCACTGCAGGTGACACTGGCAATAGAACTCAGGTCTCATTTACTGCCTTTCAGAAGAACCATGTCATATTATGTGCTTGTGTAATCCATGTTAACAAAGTGTGGCTCTTTGACCCCCTCTAAGGTTAGATCACATGCAGAAGTTTATGAGGCAGATAAAGATATGCTTTTAGATCCAGAGATTCGTTTCAAACCTTCATGAGGACCAAACAGCAGCATTCATTACATTTGGCAATGCTGTTTCCATTCACATTCTATTTCCAGAGCTAGGAATAGAAGCTATGAATCCTAAAATATTCCAGTGCTATTTCAACAATAGTTGTGTAACCCATGGCAAAGTATGCATCATGGCTCACTCTATGGGCTGGTCCTAATAGAAGATAACAGCATATTTCCCTACCAGTTACAAGTGTAGATGAAATGGAAGAGGTCTGTGATCTGAAAATCCTGGTTTCAAACCCTAATGGTGGCTTAAAGGGGGTAAAAGTATAGGTGTAAGTTAGTGTGAAGACTCTGGAAAAATGCAATTGTTGACATGATGTCATGTCATATTACAAAACATTTTATTAAGAGGTAAATTTGGATTCTCATACTTGTTTTATTATGATATTTTTAGTGGTTTACTTGGGTTAATAGGAGCTGTCCCTTTAAAAACAGGGTGGGGCATTTAATTATAGTGTGTGTTTGAAGAAAGCAGAGCAGTGTGTGGGAGATGTTATTCATGTGTGTAGAAAATGGAAGACCCAGCCTGTGAAAGGTCAGAACTTGATTTAATATACTTATCTTTCAACAAAGTAAACTTCATTCTTGAGGTGCAACATTAGCATTTATTCGGAGAGTGGATGTCTGAGGGAATTACTAAGTAGCCACAAAGCCTTTCACCTAGAGGGCAACACTCTGAATCCAGTTCAACTCAGTAGATATTAAAGAAGTTGTTCCCATCCAATGGTGCTGCTATATCAGGTAAGTTCGGTGGGTGCCAGTTCCAGTTACGATGCCACAAACTCATCATCATGCTTTGAACTAACTGGCAGACTCCGCAGAGAGGCCAAAAACTGCGTGGGCCAGTGAGAATGAAATAGCCCTGTTACCTCTAGAGAAAATCCCCACAGTTCAGGGTTGAGGCATGCTGGCAGGGCCATGTGTGCGGGAAGCTTGACCGGTAGATAAAAAGAAGGGTACATTCATTACAGCACTCAGGCCAGTACCTTTCACCAGCACTAATTTTCTTAAGCTGAAGTTGCTGGTTATATACACGTTAGTTGCAAATGTCCCAGCTGGAGCTACACAGAACCTGGCAGCTATGATGGGGGAGCTAGTTGACTCAATTCAAAGTCATAATTTAAAGTATTGCTGAAAAATTAACAACCACGTAGTGAGTGTGAGAGGAGGATGTTGCAAATTAATGAACAAGACCAAGACAACCTCTTGAAAAAACCTACAGTAGATACTGCAGAAGGTGGGGTGGTTGATTTAGTAGTTCCTGACATTCCCTTTCAGTAGGTGAACCAGCTGAAACAGTGCCCCAGCATGATGTGGGAGAGCACTATGCTGATGGAGACATTTTCAAATGAGATGTAAAAGCAAGGTTCTACCCTCTTGTGGTTACTGAAGATCCCATAGCACCACTCCAAAGAGTATGAGAATCAACCCTATTTCATCTCACATAAGCACATTCTGCAACCTAACTTCCCCTTCCAACTGGATGCAATATTTTCCACCACCTATTTTAAACTGTTGTGTAGTGTTCTTGAGCATTGATAAATGATTTCTGAATCTCTGCCTTGGAGTCACTACATCTAGTTTTGGTTCATTTCTTAAAAGATTAACTACAAAGTAAATAAAAGACTAATTGTTGACTTCTGCTTCTTCTCAATGGACGTATGAAGACATCCTTGTAGTTTTCTTTTTTTTCCCCCCCAATATTTTTCCTGCTTCCTTTTTTACGTCTGACCCGTAAGGTATTCTCTTTGCCAAAGACCCTTAGCCAGATCTTTGGAGGACCTCAACAGTGGCATGACAAGGCTGCTACCTGTACTACAGCTCTTTATTCCCCTGTTTTTGTGGATGGGATGCTGATTCTTATAGTCTAAGACAGTGGCTTTTAACCTGGGGTGCACACACCCCCTAGGGGTGCGAGATGACCTTTCTGGGGGTGCGAGACATGCCAGATTTTTTTAGAAAGTAAATCATCAAAAACACAAATTAAGTGCAGGCACGTCAGTAGAACTCCTTTGTTTAATCAAACCTATGTATTTAACAACATACATTTTTTAACGATTACTGTAATATACAAACAAAAATATATCTAGGTTTAAAGAACTGACCTACTTCAACAATTTTTGATAAGGGGTGCGAGAACATATTTTAAGAACCAAAGGGGTGCAGGCTGCAGTAAAGGTTAAGAAACACTGGTCTAAGAGAAGATCTTGTCAAGGGGCTCTTGCAAATAGAGGGAACTGAGGATCTGATATTTCCAATGCAAATAAGAGGGAGAGAAACACCTTTGAGAGAGAGTCTTTATAGAGCATAAAGAAAAAGTAAAGGCCAAAAGGTTTTTTGTTTTTGGCTTTACGGTTCACCTTTAAATATGGCTATTTTTTAACTCCAGGAAGGGTTTGTAAATGTGGAAGTGCTTGAGTCTGCCCTTTAGAAAATTCCCCACAGGCCTAAGGAAAGGCTCATTTCTACACCTAAGTTTTTGAATCTGTTCAGATTTTCAGACCCCTTGCAAATACCTTCAGTGCACAGTCTAAATAAAGTTGTTCTCTAAATTAAGATACCTTTCTCTTTGTAGAAACTGTGGGTCCTCAGAAAATATTGCTCTTAGGAAATGTATTACATGCTGTCTGGAAAGAAGAATATTCTTGTAACACAACACTTTCAAGTCATTTTTGTCAGGAAAGGAAATTTCCTTCTAAGTCATGATGAATTCCAAGGACAACACTCGCATCAGAAAACCCTTTATTTTCCAAAAGGAGAAAAAAAAAATCAAAGGAACTAGGAAACAATTTAACTAATGATTAGCAGTTGTGGGATATGCTTCATTAGACAGCTTGAGTGTGTGTTCTTTGTTCTTAACTAGCATGTTCTAAAACACAGAACTTTATGATTGACACCTACGCAAAGAGATTTTTCTTCAAAGCAATATTTAATGGCTCTGCCACAGAAAGGTCATAGGCTATTTGAGAATAAGCTAGATCAAGCTTTAAAGGACTTAGCTGCTCAGAAAGCAGATCTACCAAACTGGAGAGATAGCTCAGTGGTTTGAGCATTGGCCTGCTAAACCCAGGATTGTGAGTTCAATCCTTGAGGGGGCCATTTAGGGATTGGGGGCAAAAATTGAGGATTGGCCCTGCTTTGAGCAGGGGGTTGGACAAGATGATCTCCTGAGGTCCCTTCCAACCCTGATATTCTATGATGGCACTAGTCTATGATGGCAAGACAGATAAGTTGTTACAAGCCTATAAGTTGAAAGTGCATCCTTTCTTCAGAAGGCATTCCCTTAAGTCTAGATATAGTCCTTGCTTTTAATGCTCTTCTCCTTTCCTGACATGGATTCATCTGACCATCCTAGAACTACACATTCAAAGTGAAGTCACATATCTTCAGGCGGCAGATGACCCAACTTTTGAAGACAGGGAGATAATTGGTACTATAAAGTGTAGCAGATAATGGGTACTATAAAGAATTCATGTAGGCTGCTTTCTAGAATGTTCATTCCCTATCTCCTTGTCTACCTGAAAATAATGAACAATATCAAAATAGTTTCTCCTTAATAGATCTTCCAGCTGCATGCACTGATGTGGTGGAAAAACATGGGAGTTAAGGTAGACTGAGGATCTAGACATTGTCCTTGGTTGTGCTCCCTTTTGCCACAATAACACCTGAATTATTCTTTGTATGTAAGATTTTTCCATTTCCCATCCAGCCCTAATCTTTTTTCTATAGTGAGAACCATCAACATTTAAAGAAGAAGAAGATTCCAATGGCAGAATGAGTGCAAGATGACAGCTGTGATGAAAAAGTCTTTAAAATTTTAATGCTTTAGGTCAGTGGTTCTCAAACTATGGAGGCACGGGAATGTGTCAAGGGAGGTGCAAGCTGTGGGCTTTTTTTGCAGCGGGAGAGGGGGGGGGGAGCGGGCAGGAAGAGCTCTGGCTGTCAGCCCTGGGTGTTTGGGGCTCATGCAGAAGAGCTGTGCACATCTGGGAGGCAGGGAAAAGGGGACAGCCAGAGCACCCTGGGGCTGACAGCCAGAGCCCAGCCACCTGGGCTTGGGCTCTCCTCCTGCACCTTCCCTCTATCCCTCACCAGAGGCAGCCCAGGCTCAGGCTCTTCTCCCGCCCCCCCCTCAGTCCCATCCCCCAATCCCCATCTGTCAGCCCCGGGATGCAGCAGCAGTACAGAAGTAAGGGTGGCAATGGAGCTAAATCTGCTGTGAAAAGTGATATTGACAAATATCACTCTTCACATTGCCACCCTTACTTCTGTGCTGCTGCTGGTGCAGCGCGGCCTTCAGAGCGGGGCACCCAGCCAGCAGACGCTGCTGCTCTTCGCTCTGCCTTCAAAGTGGGGTGGTGGCTTATGTACTTGTGGTGGTGTGGGGCATAAACAACTAAAGACACAAAGGGGGGGGGCAATCAAATAAGATTGAGAACTACTGGTTTAGGTTACACTTTCTGAATATTACCAGGAAAGCACCTTCCTCTTTTGCCATCCCATGAACCTCTATGATCTTCTCTGGCCTCTGTTACAATACTACAACTATGTCCTTATCAGTCTGCCCCAAGAGAACAGTTGCCACGGGAAGGCAAGTTTTTCTTTATTCCCTGGAGAACAGTAATACTCAGAGGCCTCCAAATGCAAAGCAAGAAGCAGTTCCAGCCCACAAAGTCACAGGAGCATCCTTGAGCTGCATCCTTCTAAATTACCCAGGTCTTTAGTTTTAGCAACTGATATTAGTCAAGAGTTTAGGATAATACATTTCCTGGTTTTGTCTTGCTTAAGGAACATAAAAAGTTAATGAGCCCCAGACTCTGCCATTTCAGGTTAGGTTAAGTCAAAAGAGGTCAGTGGTCTACTTGCTTTCACTATTATGAAGAGGAGGATGTGGGAGATTTCTAACGAGTGCAGCAGTCTAAGGAAAATCATAAGCCTTTTTTTGTATTTTGTTTGCCTCCATTTTTGTTTGGCCTCTTCTGTGGTATTATGAGGTAGAACCCATGTATTCAGGACAGAGGTGGTAATAGCTGGGAAAGGAAATTTAGGTTTGCTACCTCTAAACTGGGTTTCTGAGCATCATATCCATCAGTCTAGAAGCCCTACTGAGCATGGCTAGGATTAGCATCACATTTTTTTAGTTAGTGTCTCATTCTCTTCTGAAGTCTCATTAATGAGCCTGTGCTCAATGTTAAGGAAGCCTGGGCTGAGTTGGGAACACAGTAGACAGCATGTATTGCCACTGTCAGGTGAATGCTTCCTCTTGTTTTCCAGCCACTGCTTCAGGCTGGCACTGGAATCAGGCTGGCTCCCCTCAGATGGAAGAAAATGGTATGTCAATAAGGGGTCTTTGCAGGAAGCAGAATAAAAAAGAAAATGGAGAAATTTGGAAAACTTCCTGCCGCTCCAATAAAAATCAATTCAAGTTTAAATATGGTGTAACTGCAGCCTGGGTTTACACTGCAATTTTCAGACAAACAGTAGGGAGCAAGCAGGGGAGAACAGGGGCAAACAGCATTGCCTCTCAGAATTTGCTGATAAGTAGGGTCTGCTAGGAGAGGAAGCAGCACACCACACTATGGCATGGTCCTGTATGAGCCAGTCTAAATAGATAAACATCAGAGAAACCCATCTAGCCTTGAAGTGGAATCTGCTGCTTGCAATTGTTACTCTTTAACTGGGACCAAGGAGTCTTTGCCATATTTATACATGTGTAATCTTTCCCCTGTTGCAGTTGCTGTCAGATTGTTTCCTCCAGCTACAGAGTAAGTGTTGCTGAACATGAGAGCAGACAGAATAGCACAGTGGAGAGCTGCTGTTTTTGTCACTGGCAAGGGAATTAATTTCAGCCTGAATATCATCTTGCTGATTAACAGGCCTAATAGGAAAACTCAAGTTAAACTGCATGTAATGCTGATCTAGCATTTCTGGAACCCTGTTCTTTTACATCGCAATAGGAAGGGGGTAAAATATTTGTCCTCTTTTTAAAAGTCTCCATAAACACCCACATAAAATGAAAACCATCATGTTCATAATTAAGCAGCAGTCCCTAGTCAGGTGACTGAGTGCTACTTGAGTATACGTTGCAGAATCAGACTTATCTTGGGAAACCAGTTAATTCCTGGGTGGATGTCACTAATTTCCTGTGGGATTTTTTTACTCCTTTGGGGGTGCGGAGATGAGAGCACCAAAATAGCAGGGCGAAGAGTCTAGGCAGGACGTTGGGCTGTTTTGGGACTAAAAATAGATTCCAACTTGTCCCACCTCCTCCTAGATGGGAACTCCTCCCCCCACTTCCACCTGTCATTCTGGAAACAGCAGGGATCAAGTAGCGCAGCAGCGGCAAAGGTGAATGGTTAGGAGTTTTATAGCTTTCAGTTCCTCCATACAAGTAGACAAGTGGTCAGATGGTCAATGGATTTGGGCATCAAGCATAAGATGCTTTGGCTGCTAAAACTGCCCTTTTTTGGTACTCAGTGTGGGAATGGAGGTAAGGATTTCTATTGGAAAGGGAAGGACAGGGGAGGGCCTGGATGCTGGTGGGGCATGGAACTCACTCTGGAGATGAGGCTGGGATAGGAAGGGAAGATGCATTCAGGAGAAGAAGACCCAGCCTCATTGCCTTAAGGGTTAGTTCATCCCACCTTACACTTCCTTCATCTAACTACCATTCAAACAGCTTGTCATGTTGCTTCCCAAGTTTCTAACTCTTAACTAATTCAACCCAATTTAATGCATCATTTTCCCTACATTAAACCTTTCACCTCATCCCATGACTTTTTCCGCTCTCAGTAGTGAGGCAGAGATACCTACTGGAGACCTGCCTACAAGTGTTGCAGATATTGCTCCACTCTTGTACTTCTAATCCCTAGAGAAATTAAGAATTTAATTGCATATGGAGGCCCAGGAACTTCTCTGGGAAGCGGGTCAGGAAGCAGAAGCATGGCCACTCAGAAAAAGTATATAGAAGTTGAACAGTGTCCATGCTATCCCCTTTCCTAAAGCTGACAACTCATCTCAGCTTCAGCAGCATTGCACAACTCACTGTGAGGTATCCAAAAAGGAAGAGCTTGCTGCCTGGCTGCTTTTCTCCAGGGCTTCACAATTCCTCTGGCTTCTCAGAGGTTCTGTTTTAGGAGGCTATAAGGGGATGACGAAGCTCAATTCCTAACTCACACACTCTTTTTAGAGGCTACTCATGTCTCAGAGACATGCTGATACCACATGGAAAACTTTGAAAAACAGTCTATTAGAGAAAATGTGGGCCAAACAACACATTCTCTGTATTTCTATTCCCCGCTTTTGTTTCAGGCTTTTTAAATAATTGGTAGGGCCATTTTAATCAAAATAAGCTCCTCATTCCTGAAAATGTCGCTCTCTGCCTGACCCTCACAGTGGTCAGGCCCAATAATGGACCAATGCGGGACATCTTTTAACATTTTATTTTCTGAAATATTTGTTGGACCTTAAGCTCTGGGGTTCATCCATTGTTACAAATAACAAGTTACAAGTACATCCCATGAACTATTCCCCCCACATTCATGGAGCTGTCAAGGGTTAATTTATCTGATTGTCTTCTATAAGGATTACACTGAGGAGTCTGAGACCCTGCTGTACATTGCCCAGTAGTCTTGTGTTGCTTTCTCTTTTTTCCTCCACAGGTGTTAAAAAGTGGTTTACTTTCCACGCCTTAAAAATGGGTAAAGTCCCGGAACGGGGTCTAAAGAGCTGGAGGTACGCAATACCAGAAAAACCATGCCAAGATTAAACATTGTGGGCCAGATCTTCAGCTGGTGTAAATCAGCGCTATTCCACTGAAGTTAACACAGCAACGCCAGTTGTACCAGCGGAGGATCTGACTCTGAATTCAGTACATTCTCTCTATGTTTGGTAAAGGAAGGGAGCCTGCAGGTGGGATGAGTTGGGGAGATGGGTGGTGGAGACGAGAGACACAGGATATGCTGTACAGTCAGTCAAACAAGCATCCATAAGAAGCCTATGCATTCCTCCTCTGTAATGTACCCATTTGGAATTCCTGATACCCCAAAATGAACTCTTTATGTTCCCATGTGTACAGTGTACTCAAAGACAATAGTACTCACCCTACCACCACAATTATAAAATCTAGTAAATTCCAGCCATTGCGGAGGTAAGCATTGGGGTGAAAGAGAAGTCCATATGCTATTACTTTTAAAAATGCTTCCACTGTAAAAATTATGAGGAAGAGATATTCCACTCGTTCCTGGAGAGAAGACAAAAGAAAAAAAGAAAGACAACCATTAGCTCAGTGCTGAAAAACAATGGGTAAAAATCTGTTTACCTTTTTAACATTTTATCTCTGCAGCCCTCTAGTCACTGGCCCACCAGAGCCACTTCGGAATGTCCAGTGCTAAACCCCATTACTTGCCAATGAGTTTTTCCTCTCCGTATTATTTCTGTTGCTAGCTTGATAGGCTAGCAGCAGTGCAGTGTGGTTAGGATGCAAGTTTCATGTTCCTTGACTTGTCAGGAACTGTAAACTCTGCAGAGACAGAATGCTCAGCGCCACTGTTGGGAGGCATCACTCTCTAGTATCTTGTTCTCAGGAGGATGTATTGAGAGGCACTGATAGGCTCCAGAGTGAGCTGTGTCCAACCCTCTTGGAGGGGGAAGGTGGCTGGATTTGAGGCTTTGTGGAGAGAAGGGGGAAGAAGAAGAGAGGCCCTGCTGACTGACACCCCCCCCCCAAGAAAAACTGTCATTCTTTTAACTTGTCTTGTGAGATTGCCTCCTACATTGTTAGGGAAAAAACTGATGTAGGAATGTGATAAATGATTTACTGTTCACATGGATTCATTAGCACTCAGTGCATAGTCACCATCATTTTAGTGATTTCATCAGAATATTCACATGTGCAACTTGTGAAATGCAATCCAGAGTTTCGCACATGCAAAGGAAGTCATCTACAGTGACAAGACACTCTGATTCAGCAGGGAAGCTTTAGGAGTCCGAATACGGGTTTAACCTCTCTCTTAACTTTGGATTTCCTATTCCCAGGATGGCGGCAGAGCAGCAGCACTGCTAAAGTGACAGGGACCCCAGTCCCCTGACCCACTTCCTAGCCAGTCACTGCAAAGGCACTGAGAGCAGCCTTAGAAGATAATTAGCACTCAGCTGTCCCAGGATCAGAACAGTCATCTAGGTATCTACACTGAATCTGGGAGTGAGCCTGGGTCCACAGACTCATGCTAGCCTACTAAAGACAGCTGTGTGACAGTGCCTTGATGTTGCGGCTCAGGCTGGAGCTCAGATTCTGAAGCCCATCCCTCATCCTAGATTTCAGAGCCTAAGCTACAATGTCTACATAGCTACTTTTAGCGTGCTATTGTGAGCCCTGCCAACACAGGTCTGTGGGCCCAGGCTGGGAGGCTCGTTCTCAGATGCTGTGTTGACATGCCCCTGGACAAAAAGGGAAAGGATAGGTGTAGTCCTCAGAGCTACCAAGATTATATCTACCAAGTCTCCCTCATTGGAGAGGGTCTTATTTTGGATTAATTTTAACTGAAGCCTCTCTATTCAGTAAGGAAAGATGTTGCTGTGTGTGCTTCGAAGAAGAATTTACAAGCCTCATTCTCACAATCATTTGGAAATCTCATTCATTTAAATTATTACAGCTTGGACACATTGCAAAGTAGGCCCCTAACAACCCCCTGAACTGCTTGGTTGAGATGAAAGTCTGAGATGCATTGTTCAGCCTTGCAAAATTCTCTACAAAATTTACTAGCCCAGGTCCAAAAACGATTCCTTCAATCCACCACTATGCTAATAAAAATATCAAATTATTTTTTACTTGCCTATGAAAAAAGTTAGTTACCCTTGAGAGACGGCAAGGCCGCATGGCTGCAGTAAATGACTGAAGGTGACCAGGCCCTTGGACTACATATTTTGCTAGAGAGAGAGCCACATTTGAAAATTCAGGCTGTCTCTAGAACACCTTCTCTCGCATGCGGCCACCAGGGGGGTTCCCTGCGGCCACGGCCGTTTCCTGGGGGGAGCATCAGCCCCTCCAATTCGTCCCTATTGCTCCTTGCATGTGCCGCCTCTCCGGAGACGCAGGTGGGACACACAAGACTTAAGGAGCAAGGTGAGGAGGCGAGCGGCGAGGCGGGGGAGCGAGCGGCGAGCCAGCAGCAGGGTGAGGGGGCAGGCTGCGAGCGGGGGAGCGAGGCGGTGAGCAGGGGTGTGTGCGAAGAGGCGAGTGGGGAGGCGAGCAGGGGGGGCCTCGGTGGAGGAGGAAGGAGGCGAGCGGCGGGGTGGGAGTCTGGCTGTGAGCGGGGCAGGAAGGAGGCGACAAGCGAGCGGGGGGGCCCTGGCGGAGGAGTGAGGAGGTGAGTGGCGAGCCAGCAGCAGGGTGAGGAGGCGGCGCGGTCTGGCTGCGAGCGGAGGAGGTGAGCGGTGAGCCACTAGCGAGCGGGAGGAGTTCTCCTGGCGGGCAGGGCGGTGTCTGGGGCAGGGGAGAGAAGAGGCGAGCGGTGGGTGCATGGGGGTGGGTGGAGCCCCCCCTTCTGCCCGCACTCCCCCCACCCCTGGGCAGCTGGAGCCACCACCCCGCCGGCCGGAGAATCCCTGAGCGCCGCTAGAGGAGCCCCGGGCTGGCTGAAGCCCTGAGACCTGCCCCCCTCAAACCTGCCCGAAGGAGGTCGGGGCCGGCCGAAGCCTCGAGCCCCCCCCCGGCCACGCGTTCCCTCCCCTCCCCAGACCCAAGCCACCCAGATATGTTTTTCATTATTACTTGGACTTCTATGTCAAAGCATTTTTAGATTTACTTCAGAATTGTTATACAGACAACCACTTTTACTAAAAAAGCAAAACAAACAATAATAAAAAAAAAAAAGACAAGAACTTGCAAAGCACCTTATTTGTGTTTCTATTCTGTTAGGTCCAGTAAAGACTAGAGATAACTGTGGATGGTTTTTATTATTGAGTCTGCAAAAACCCCCCAAACCTTACATAAATAAATTACAATGATTTGGATGTAACTTTAGGAAAAATAAATAATTTTAGGAAAAAAGTGTCAGTGCAGTCACCGCCAAGAGTTGGTGGCCGCACTCTCAGGCCACCAAAAAATTTGTTGCGAGAACCCCTGCTCTAGAAAAATACAAATAAATAGACTAAACTTTTGGCTCAAGTAGATCCTGCAGTCTGCCCCATGAAATGATTCAGTGAGTCACTACCTGATTTTGCATCTCTGTTTCAGAATATAATTTGCCAGTTCTCCCTGCCAGCTACTCTGGTGAATACACGCATCACTGCTTCTCTTTGGTGGATCACAGCATTAAAATAAGTCATTACAACATCTGACCCAGACACACTCCTGAACCTCTAAGATGAACGTTCAACTCTAGATCGTTAACAGTAACACAGTGGCTAGCAAAGCTCTTGATTCTCTAGTGGATGACCAAGAACCACATTATCCAGTTCATCTGCACATTTACATTAACACACTATTGTACATGCCCCAGAAATCTGTTTTACAGTAGTATACAAGTCTTTGTGCTTAAAAAGGCTGTAGTTTTCCATTAGATAATGGTATCTCAGCGTTGCAGTATGCCCTGCACTTAATACAGGCGATAACTAGGGAAATTATGCACATATTAGGTTAATGTTACTTAGGCTGCATCTACACTACGCACCTTTTAGTGACACTGCTGGGCCACTACAGCCATGCCACTAAAAAGGTGCACAGTGTAGCCGCTCTTTGTTGGTGGGAGAGAGCTCTCCCGCCGACAAAATAAATGCACCCCCAACGAGAGGCGGTAGCTTTGTCAGCAGGAGAGCTCTTCTGATGACACGGGCCCTTTTCATTGGTAAAACTTTTGTTGTTCAGAAGGGGTGTTTTTTTCACGCCCCTGAATGACAAAAGTTTTACCGATGAAAGTGCAGTGTAGACAAAGCCTAAGTTACCTGATGCAATTGTAAATTACAGTGGTCACCATTAACCTTCACACACAGATATATCCAAGACATTTCAGTTTACAGTTACAATACCAATACTGGTAACTGTTTATAAATGTTGACTTTTTAATAAGGTGACCACTCTGCCTCCAACCTCACATTACTTATTGTTACTCAAATAAATTAGCATACAAGAGTAAATAGCCAACTGCCTGGCCACTGGCTTGGCAACAGATAAGAGCACTGAAATGGTAAAAGGCTTGCTGATTCCTGAAATAGGCTTATTAAATATCCCCCAATTCCCTGGAGCTGAGTGGCTACTTGCTGTGCAAACACTAGGAAAACAAATATTGACAGATAAGTTCCATGCGCACATTTGTAAAGTAAGTGTAAGCGGAGCTGTCAGAGGACCTCTAATAAAAATCAACATGTGATGGGAAGTCTTTATGCAGCGCCTTTTGATTACCACGCGCCTTTGTGCTACCACATGCCTTTATCAGCATGGCATGAGGCCAGGCTACATCCTGCTCAGCAGGCAGCTAGCCTGTGTTAACTCCACGGTGAGGAGACAATGCCCTAGCTAAGAAAGGACAAGAAAAAGTCTGGGGGAATACAAGAGGAACACAGAAATGGGCTCAGCTGGGGAACAATGTGCTGAGAATTAGGCATGGCAGTGCTGCAATTAGGACTCAACTAGCCTTGCTAGGGATGAAGAAACATCTTTAAAACGGAAAGGGAGAGATTTATTTTACTGTAACCCATTCCATTAAGGGCCTCTATACCTCATTGAAAGGGTTTCCAAAGCCATAAGCAAGCCCTGCATAGATGGATCAGCCCTTTTGTTCCACCCCTCACATCCCCAGGGATCACCAGTAGGGTTTGAGACCATAGTCCGCAGATTGCTTTCTGAGGGGCTCCATGTGCAAATAGAGCCCAGCTATTTTGGTGGTGTTATTCCTTGTGCTTGGGCTACCTCACAGGTGGATCTGTGGATTGAGGTGGTGGTGTATTCAGAACAGTTTTTAGTGGACTGGTGCCCATCTTACACAAACCAGTCCCAAAACGGACACCAGCTAACATGCTGGTTGGCAGGCTTAGTTGAGAGGGTAACATTTCAATGTACAGAGACTAAACTGCCTTTTCATTAGTAGAAGTCAAACTTGAAGCAGAGTGCCATGGCGATGTGTGGCAACATGGAGCCCATCCCAATGCCCACTGAATTCAGTGGAAAGACTCAATTTCAGTAGGCTCTGGGTCGACCCCCAGCACTGCTGCTGCCAGCTTTGTCTGTTCTCACTGTGCCTAGAG